GTTATCGTTTATAAAGCAACAGACCGTGTAATTACAATTAGGTTTCATGTTCAGTTAGGCTGACATGTCTTTATTGGTAGAATAATTGATGGTGTCATTGAAAGAATGGAAAGCGACACGAAACCTTTTATATTCACAAATATATATATGCCATTCTTATTAATTAAGATATACGCTGGCACGTTGTTCATGTCATCAATAAAAAAAGTCGTTATTAGTTTCCTTTTGTGTTACTGTCTCGTGTTTGATCGTGACATGTTCAGATTAATTAGTGAAAGTGAAGCTGCCTCGTCTAAGCGAGAAAACTTTTGTGTCACGCTATGCTGGTTAGTTTGTGGGGGAAAAACGTCAATGTAAGACTGAAAATTAGGGTTTTCTCGAAACTGTGACGAGCTGTGACAATATAGCAACCAACACAGGGGTTTCTACGATAAAGTGAAGAAGGGAGGGTACCTCAAATCAAGTAACGACGGTTACCTTCCACGACATTTCGAAGTCTTGATTATTATTCGATGTTATATAGTCTGAACTACTGTTAGCTCTCCTAAATATACAAAAATAAAGACTATTGTCACGTACCGTGTAGTACAGTGGAAGCACAACAATGTTTCGTAGTAACGTACTACCTCCATCTTCAGAGTCAATGTGCAAAGCAAGCAACAATCCAACAAGATTGCTGTTGCTGCTGTCAACTTCTTGATGGCTTCTTGCTTTGCTTTCTGTTTGGACCTTTGAAACGTAGGTGGCCACGGGACTGCACGGCGCTACATACCAGAAGATGGTTAGCTTCAAAGTCACCGCTGTGTGAACCTCAAACCCAGTAAGTAAACAACATGCGTTACCATTTTGTACCAAGAAATAAATCCGCTTCACCGAACATGAAAATTGGAGGGTTTGAGTAAAAGAAACTTGAGATGCTGCGGCGCATTCATACCAAATTTCTTGTAAGTGATTCACTCAGATCTTGAGTTCAATGAAAATTTTAATGATGATATTTCTTGCAAATAATAGCTAATTAGAATCCTGCTTAGGGAAATAATCAGTTTATGCGGTAGCGTAATTGGGTGAGGCATTATGCTACAAGCCGGAAGGTAGCGGGTTCTAGTCCCGATTAGGTTTTTTCTTCTAAATTTACCTAATCCTTCCAGCTGCACTAAGGCCCTGGGGTCTACCCAGCCTCTAACAGAAATGAGTACCAGGATTCTTTCTGGGAGAAAACTTCTAGTGTTTCCTTCTGTATAGTCTGGCAATGTTGGAACCCATTTATGAAAAGAAACTGCGTCGTTTCCCAAAAGAACCTAATCTTACAACTCATCTCCACACGTCATTAGCGCAGGCGCAGTAATGTTGTTGATAAGTTATCAGATAATTCGAATATCGTCTGGCAGTTGGCCTAGGCGTGCTGTAGCATGTCCCCTCTCAGTTTGTCAGAGAGTGAATGTTCACAGAACGTGACTCCTTTGACTCCGTGACGTAGTTCAGGTGCTGGCTCGGTGATGCTGGCACGCAACAAGCCTCGGTTTGTCGCCTGTTTCCGCCTGGTAAGTCTGAGTGTGTTGCGGGGTATCATAAAGTCATCTTAACAAGAAAACTTCTTCGAAAGTTATTTTGAAAGTTTTATTTTTCATTTATATTTCAGATAAATTAAGTGATTAGAACTTCTGTATTCTTCTATTTATTTAAACAGTACAAAGTTTGATGGATGTAATGGAGAAAATTACGCGAAACAACAAAGACTTTCCCTGTCAGTGTATGAACCGCTGTAGGAAACTTCTTCTGGGATTTATATCTTTATGAATTTGCTGCTTCAGTTTCCACATTTCCCTGTTCTTACCATTCTTCTCTTGCAATCACCGATCTTTGATAACAGACTTAAGTGTCCCCCAATCTTATGCAGGTTTTCCTCTTCTCTTCTTCCTGGCGGCAATCAGTGATACACAGTTTTCGGCGACCATTTTTACTTTTCTTCATCTTTTATAAATACATCATTTTAGCGCCATTTTTCTAGGCTTCTTATAAGAGAGAGAATCCCATTCCCCCTTTCGGCTGCTCTTTCATTCCACACTATTTTTCCTCTTCTTCTGAAGATATCTTCTTAAATAGAATTCAGCCATCTTTATTGTAGACCTCAAATTTCTTTGGCAATGACGATTTACCTCCACATAACAGATTATTTTGAGTGATACTGCTAATTAAATTTTGAGTTCATTCCCTTTCATATATACTTTGACTCCATGATATTCCTTCCAAATTCTTCCACAGTAACTCAATTAAATTTTGTAAAATTGTGACTTGACGCCTGAAAGCTGCAATCTGTCCATCTGATCGCGAGGCTTCGCTAAGCACGTTCCCGCGGCAACACGGAGGGCGCCGCTGCTGGACGGCGAACTGTTGGAACACGTTTCCATGGCAACGAATACGACTGAAGAAGCAATGCAGTGCACACAGAGTCACGTCGATTCATAGGCAAAGCATACAGAAACGTTTCCGTTCTCGCGGCAACGAACCCTCAAAGCGCAGCAACAGCAAAGATGGCGTAAGTCTACTGTTGATATAGGTGATCTCCATTCGGTTCAACTAAAGCCTTCCTCAGGGAGAGAACTGACCGATAAAGGACAGAATACGTCAGAAGTCTAACACTAAGCTAATAATAAGCTGATACTAATGATAAGTCTGAAAGACGGTGTTGATATCATGCTCCTCGTAAGAATTGCCCGAAACTGACTACAAATTGTTTATAACATTTCAGAAATAGCATCACAGTAAACATTTGCATATTTTATCTGAGGATTTTATTAAACATAATTTGTTTCTTGCTGCAAAGTATCAGACGTAGAAACATAATTATAGATTTCTGATTTTGTATGCCCAGACCTGAAAGAACGGCTCATAATGTTGTCTGGGTCCGGTGGCAGTATAAAGACATGACACGCGTGTTACTGCAAAACCACAAACCACCATCATGCGGTGGAACATTACTTTGCTGCTAAATGGAGCAAGGTTTCACAGGACAGGTGGTCTAGGCGGGAGGCACAGGTGGTGTGCGCCGGGCTTATGGGGCAAATTATGTTGCTGTAAAACCTTTTTTTTTTTTTTATTCTTTAGGTCCACTCACAGAGTCGTTTCTGTGCAAGCGTCGAATGAAGCGATGAGTATCATGAAAATATTTCCTTCTGCCCACAAATGTTAACAATTCAGATTAATTTCCACTATAATCACAGCTAAAATTAGATCACAAGCAATTATCATTCCACACAAAAATCAAGTTTGGATTACTATAATGTAAGTTTGCTTAATAAGTAAGTGCGACGTAAAATCAATTACGTGTTATACATTGAACCTGTATGAAGAATGTAAAGTTGTCTCTGTACTAATTAATTAAGCACAACGCCATGAGGACGAATGGAGATATACCTCCACCATTTTCTTACCTCGATACTAAATGGATGTGAGTAGTTAGTTTCATGCCCCGGCCGCTTTACCCCCCCGGGAAAAAAACCCAATTTACCCATTTGATAGGATGCTCGGTGGGCCCCAGAACCGGCGTGGATGACGTGGACGAAAGAAAAGTTTTCTCCCGACAAGGACACGAACAGAGGACTTCGTGAGTACAAGCCTAGAGCCTTACCGCTAGATGAACCTGTCCTGTGAGAATTTTTGGTTAAGTGTAAAATTGTAAATTGCGCCTGTGTTTAATTAATTAAGCACAACGCCAAGAAGACGTATGCGGTAATGGAGGTATAGCGCCAGCATTCATGATTTCGGTATTAGATGGAGGTGAGCGGTCAGTATCACGCCCCACCCGCTTTAACCCCGGGGATAGAGAGCCCTCTGTACCCATTGAGTAGGAGTTCAGGTGGGCTCCAGGACCTATCTGGAAGCTGTGATAAAGAGAAATATATTTTCTTCCACTGCCCGGAATCAAACTCCGGTCGTTCGGGCCATAGCTCGCCGCCATACCGACTGAGCTATCCCGGCCCATAACGAGAATGTATTTACTTACATTTGTATCTAATTGTAATCAGAAGTGTTGATAAGAAGAGACCATGTTGCCCAAGGAATTAAGCACTACACCATGAAGAAATATGGGGGGGGGGTATGTATAGATCCCGATCTCGGAACTAGCTGGAAGTGAATGGTGAGCTTCACGCCCCGGCTACTTTACCCCCGGGGAAAAGTTCCCTATACCCATTGGACAGGAATTTGGGTGAAACCCAGAACTTGTCTGGACGATCTGGAGCGTAGAAAATTCTTGACCCTACCGAGACTCGAGCTCCGACCCCTTAGCCGTCCAGCCCTTAACCAGTCGCTATACCGACTCCTGCCACAGATAGACAATATATACAAGAATTTAAGAAAGTCCTATGTAAATTGGAGCAGGCTATTATCTGAACGCTCCATTTATAACGTACATCACGCTATATAATTTTATTTAATTCGTTAGCGCAGCTGTAACGCTGTTGACTCTAATTCGGGAGGTGGTGAGTTCGAAACCAGCCGTCACGTGGTCTGTCTTGCTTGTGGATGTTCGTTCCTCTCCTCAGTCCCCCGTATAGAATCTGGATTAATCCACGACCACTTCCCTTCAATGCTTTCCAATTAAATGTTCATCTATCATCACAGCCTTCGAAGCTATTGAGCACAGCCAGTGATAAAAGTTGTAAAATAACCCCCTAAAATAAATATTAGTTAATTCCTGGACATGCATTTCAATTCAAATATATATTCGTTGGTGTGCAGTAGCTTGTAATGAAGCGAGAGTACAATTTTTTTCCATCCAACTCCCCCCCCCCCATGCAACCCGATTAAAGTTAAGCTACTGCACGTAATCCCTATTACTGGGCAGACCCAACGGGATCGCTACATATAAAAAAGGGGGACAGGTGGCGTGGGTTGTCTAACTGAGCGGAACAATATTCCGAGATTTGCGTTTTGCTGATTTCAGCACATAAATCTCTAAACGTACGTGAAATTTTGTTTCTTACTTACTTCTAAGGAAGAAGAGTGACTGATGATCCATAATGAGGCCTTCTATTCTTGGTTACTAACGTCTTGTAGGAACACATTCGCTCCTTCAAGGTTCCCTGAAAATGGAAGCAGTATATTGCTACGAAATGTCCGTTCCAACCTACGAGACTTCATAGTGTAAAACCACAGAAGATCAGGAAGTGAATCTTTACTTCCACAAAGAAATTCAGACCTCAGAGCTGGATTGATGATGTTGAAAGAAAGAAAGAAAAAAGAAATACATTTGGACTTAAGGAGCATGGAAGAGAAGAGGTATAAACTGGCTACAGACGGAGCGGACTTCACGGCAGATGTGGACGTCGGGCTGATCAGGGAAGCTCTTGTCAACGTAGGGAATCGGCCCTGAGTCTTTCAGCAATAGTGAGTAAATATTATGAACAATCCTTGTTAATAATAATAATAATAATAATAATTCAATTCTTTATTATTTATGTGCCAAGTCAACAGCCGTAAGGCCAATTACAGACTTAGCACAGTGAAGATGAAAGTAATTAAGTGTAACATTATACAAACATTAGACAAACACATTATAAGTCAAAAATAAATTACAGGAAATTTCTTGGGAAAACACAGTAATGAAGAAAAGTAAACAAACAAGCAAATAAATGATAATAATAACAATAATAATAATTTCATTATCATAAAACTAAGTGTTATTTAGAAGTGAAAAGAAACATAAATATTTAACTAATTAATAATAATAATAATAATAATAATAATTTAATTCTATTTACGTTTATTTACGTGCAAACTTAACAGCACAGAGGCCAATTACAAAGTTAGCACGAGTACATAGAAATACACAAAATAATTAAAGAGCAAAATACAGAATAAGACAGTCTGTGTAAATGAAATAAATTAATATCGATACCAAGAAAAATTTAAGTTTGCAATAACAGGCTAATAATAATAATAATAATAAATATAAAACAGTTGAACTTTTTTATATCAAATGCTTACTTAGCAACCCAGAAGTCAGTTATACAGTTAGTATATGAAAAAGGATATAAGACATATGTACACACAAACAAAGACAAAACAACGCAAATTGCATCCTTTAGACAACAATATAAGTAAATTCATCAAATGCAATCACGTCAGTCACTATGCAAGAAAAAAAAATATTACGTGTATACCCATTACTAGGCATCGGGTCGGTAAAAATAGATTGACTTCCATTACTAAGTAACGGAGCAGTAAACAATTATTCTGGACAATAGAAGACGGTGTATTCCGCGAGGTCCGTGCAAAGAGGTTATAAGAAATGTTCGGCAGGGCGGGAGTATAAGAAGCAGAGGAGTAGGAAAACAGAGCAGGAGTCGAGAGTAGTCGTATCCAGTCAAGTCGAGCCTTCGGAATTGGCAGCTGCAGAAATGGTAAGAGGAAAAGTAGACTGTGACAACAAGTTATAGTGAGACTGTGTTGAGATCCGTTGCCAGGATACGACTAGTGAAGACTCAGGATTCTAGTGTGGTGTCGGTGTGCAACGGTGAACTGGATAGTGTGCAGAATAGCGATAGTGCTCTATTATCTGTAGTTCAGAGATGTGAATGTATAAGGTACAGTAAATCCAATCATCCACTCCAAAACCCATCATATAAGTGACTTACGTCATTTATATACACATATATTCATATTGAATAAAATTTATATTCTATTGATTAATAAACTACCTATAACAATATTTTTATTATTACTTCATCGTTTTAAATTATAACGCGTTTTACAAAATAAATATACAAATGAACCTGGACAGTGTCCAAGGAACCTGAATGGACTACGTCAGAATACAGGGGCTGTGCAAATAAATTTGTTGGTTTGAGTCGGGAGATATAAGTGTAATTGAAACAGCTGCTAAATGAGTGAGGAAGCTGTTGGTTGTTCACAAGAGGATAATCCTGTAGCCACTTACATGACGGAAGCTTCCAGCAGAGCGGCTTGCAAAAAGAGGGGAAATTATCACTCGTCGTCTGTTGCAAACCGTTGAGTGGGTCAACATTTGTGTTTTCATTCCTGTGAAACTCAGCTTTAATTTTAGGCCAAATCCCGAAAGTAAACAGTAAAAGTTGAATGGACATTCGAACTTCCTTTCAACATCCCCAGCATGGAAATACTCGTACGTGCAGTATTATTTTAAATAACGCGAAAAGACAACATTGTTTTCTTTTAAAATAGTTAACTAGGCCGCGACATAGCTCAAGCGGTTAGTCACTGGCTTCCTACCGCGGCGGCCCGTGTTCGATCCCGGGTCTAGTCAAGTGGGATTTGTGGTGGACAAAGTGATGTTGTGGCAGGTTTTCTCTGAGTACTTCGGTTTCCCCTGCCAATCTTCATTCCACCAATTGCTCCATAATCACCCTCACCTATCATCTGGGGCTGGTACAAGAGGCCAGAAGTGGCGCAGTACAAGGGACTTAGTCCCACCCCACTAGGTATAAAAAAATATTGTTAAATGGGAGAATGCGTAGGTTAATATTAGCTCTTGGAAAGGGCTGTGATGTGGATTTGATAATTCATTCTTCCACCCAAATAATTTATGCAAGAAACAGAACGGGAAGACGTTCAAATATAACAGCAGCACATTGAACTATTCATGGCTAAACAAATTCAGGGTTCCTTACAGATCTTCTGGTAATTAAAATGGATGAGTCACACTTAAAACTATTTCCTTACTCTACTGAAATATTTCAGCCATGGCGGCCATTATCAACTTCCCTTAAAGTCCTCCATAGACAAATTCTCTCGATCGGTGTGTATGATGTTACTGTCCCGTGAACAGTAATTGTGGGTCTTAGATTTGATGAACGCTTCTTCGCAATTACAATCAATTATAGCGCTATCACTAATCTTCACAATTCACTAGGATAAGCCCAATTCTTGTCCTTGTACTCTCAGCTACCCTTAACTTCAAGTCAAGGTCACATTACGACTGACAGTCAGTCAGTCTTGGTGTGGAGCCCAATCTTGGGATCATGACCAGATATTTATTACTGTTTGACAGTTCCGGTCTTGTTATTGTGGGGCGCCCTCTCTGACGAGAGGACGGGTTTGTCTTTTGTTAGAGTCACTGTCTGTAGTAGTAAGTCATTTGTCATAATGTAAAGGATATTTACATTTTACATGTTAATAAATGTATATAAAATATATACAGGGCCTCTGCCAGTCCAGACTCAGTACAACAGATTATGCCCTATTTCTAGTAGCTTCCGCTACAACGGCAGTCTATTCACTCGAACGGTCCTATGTTTAACCGCCGCTAAGTTTAAGCCTCTTATACATTCTATGTCTGGCTTCGCCTTGTCCTATATTGCGAACATTTTCATTATCATGCTTTTGTATGACTTCTGCTTGTTGCCTGCATAATTTTGTTATATAATCATATATCCTCCCCATAGCTTTTGAATTCATTTCCTTTATAACTACTTTGCACAGACCAAACGGAAAACAGAGTCTGTGTTGTTGATGAAGCTTGTTTACTTCGCCGTTGCTTAACAATGGATTCCATATTGTTGTCAAGCGCTGAAGCAAAAATATTTTGCTAATCTGTTGCCTAGCAATGATCATTTCCCTCTATTGTTATAGAAACTGCAATTCTTCTATTTTTGTCTTTGTTATGTATATATTTACCTAGCAATTGGTTTTTGTCTGGCTCCACAGCTTAATATTTTGAGTAAATGAATCACAATACCATTTTTTTTTTCAGAATACTGGAGACCTTAGTAATAAATGGCTTATATTACAACAATTCATAAACAGATACTGTTAATGTTTACTTTACACTTTATTTTCACTATAATTGGATGTTAACGAGAAGAGGTAAAGTTCGAAGCAATTTTTCATAGGGTTTTCATTACGGAGCTCTGCAAACTCTCATAGATGTGCTGTATTTTCCGCAGCCAACTTCAGCCTGTATAATAAATCACGTGAAGACATAACCTACCTCCGTCCTAACGATATTTATTAGTGACTGCGACACTAACTGTGAGGAAGCAGATGATCATTGTGGCGTATGGAAGCCATCTGCTGCACTAACCCAGAACTACAGAATGTAACGTGTTCTAGTGTGATATGTCTCGGAAACACGATCTTATTGCTTTAAAGTCACGATTTCATTGCAGTGTAAGATCATTTAAATGTCCTTTTTGAATTCACAGCATTTTCCTAACACTCTGAAGCCTAAAACTCTACTAATTATTGTTTAAAATTTATTTCATATATCTCAGAAAGAAGTAGCCCTAATTACGAACACTGACTGGGTCATACTGTTCAGGGAAATAATCGTTGTTTATTATTAGAACCGTACGAATACGTAAATAAATTGTGAAGAAATCAAGAATTTTTAATATTAAAGAAGATGTATATAATAAATGCTATGTTTTCAGGGTTTAATTCAGTAATAAATTGTGTTTGAAATTAGGGATGAATATAAACTAATAATCACAGAAATCGGTTCCTTTTCCTGAAATTTCCTGCATGCATTGAAGGAAACATATTCAATTTGGACAACTCAGATATTTAATCCAATAATAATAATAATCCACTCATCCAATCCAAAATGCTGCTTCTGGAGAAACCGCAAATTCTGCAGCTACTGAAGAATTTCCCAGCATTTTATGTAACCCGAAGGTTCATCACCGTGTTCACAAGAGCCCTCCAATGGTCCCTATGCTGAGCCAGATCAACCCAATCCATACCATCCCATTCTATCTCTCGAAGATCTATTTTAATATTGTCCACACACCTACGCCTTGGTCTTCCCAGTGGTCTCTTTCCTTCTGGCTTTTCCACCAATATCCTATATGCATTCCTTTTCTCCTCCATTCGTGCTACATGCCCTGCCCACCTCATCCTCCTTGACTTGATCATTCTAATTATACTTGGAGAAGAGTACAAGTTATGAAGCTCCTCATTATGCAGTTTTCCCCAACCTCCTGTCACTTCATCCCTCTTCGGTCCAAATATTCTCCTCAACACCCTGTTCTCAAACACCCTCAGTCTATGTTCCTCCCTTAATGTCAGAGACCAAGTTTCACACTCATACAGAACCATACCTACC